GATGATATTCACAATTGCGGCACCCACAATTGCATCTGACTGGGTTCTTCGCCAGGCTAGTTGATAAACGAGTGCACGTGTTTTTTCGGCAGAGGATAGCGGGGGAGTGTCGATACCAGCTCGGTTGGGATGGTACGAATTCATATTTAGGATGGACGATGGGGCCGAATCATATGCAAATTGCAATGCGGAAAGGGGTGCGGATAATCTTGGGGGGGGAAGAGAATCTGTTTTCCTTTGAGAAAAGAGCACCTATGCGAGGCGGCGACGGGCCGGCGATGGCGAGCACGTAGCCGCCACTCCAGCACAAAGGCCCAGACGACGGGCGGCGGAGGGGCGGCGATTGCGGCTACATAGCCGCCAGACCTGCACGCAGGCTCAGTTCCTTAGAAAACATTTGTTTTCAAGAGCCCGAAGTGCTTAGCACCGTGGAGGTAAACAGGGCCACACCTAAAAACTAAACGTGGAGTGTGCGGAGAGCACCAGACCTGAAAGTCGGAAACCTGAACGGGAAATCGTCCACCGTTGCCTACTGTACATGGCTTACGCACGCCCAACGACCCTCACGCCCGCCTTACCCACGCAGGCCGAACTTGACCTCCCAAATATCTAAAACAAAAAAAGGATCAACGGTAGGGGAGTTACGGTCAGGATTTTGTGCATAGCGTGTCGCGGCGGTGGCACTGGCAACACGCCATGCCTTGCGAACGGATAGCGTGTTGTTGCGCCCCAGGGAGCGAGAGGTTGGGAAAGGCTCGGACGTGGATGCTTGGGGACCGAGACGTGGATACCGTGTCGCGCCGAAGCGTGGTGGGCCAGAACCGGCGACGCGACACCCTGAGCAAATGTTCCTGACCGTAGGCTCAGGGGGGAACGCATCGACCCCCAATCGCGCATTCATCACCGATCGAGGCCTGATAGCTCTCAACACGCCCAGGAACGTGCGGTTTTGCTGTCGGGGGCTTGTCGCCGAGATATGTCGGCAGTGCATCGCCGATTCAAGTTCGACGCTTCCCCCATGAGCTGGCCCTGACGATGCACCCTCTGCTTCCTCCTCCTTGCGTGGTTTTCCGCACTAGGTACCCAGGCGCTCCTCAATCACACGCGGTGGCGCAGCCTTGCTGTGGTGATCCACTGTGCTCTCTAATTGTGGTGTCTTCGTCGCCAGTGGCCAAACAAAAGAATCAGGCGTCCAGCGTCCAACGCTTGTTTCTGGACGCCCCCGGACGTCTTCCAGCCTCGGGATGCGCTCCAGCAGTTGCACGCCTCGCCTTGAGCCATCTCAAGCCGGAAGCCTTTCGCCGATCGCGGCCCCACGGCGAGCCGTGTTTGGGGCCCTGAGACCACCGACGAACCGATCTGAAGTAAAAAGTTGACCCGGGGTACCCGGCTAGAAAAAGTCGTGGCTCCCCAGGGGCTGCGCGAGACAAGGGAGCCCCCGCCGCAGGGCTTCGTCACTCCAGGCCGCCAAGGTGGAGTCGGAGCGCCGCTCCGCATCTCCGATGCATCGACGCTGCGGCTGGATGTCGAGCCAGCATCTCTCCACGCGGACGTCCCCGACGCATCGCCGATGCATCGGCGATGCGGTGCGATCCTCCGACCCCATCCAGGAGCTTCTGTTCACGGCGGACGTACAGCAAGGGAGGCGCAAAGCGGGGGGAGGCGTGGTACATCGTGGCCCGAGCTTTCCCGTCGTGCGCCGGGGCATTGCGAGGTGGCCACGCCACAGATAGCTCGAGAGGGCGCGGGCCCGGGGGAGACGTTCGGATGGTGCTGGGTGGCTCGAGAAGAGCCTCAGGGATCGAGGCTTCCGGCGCACACAGAGTCCAGGCGGTTCTAGGGTTGAGGTAGCTCGAGGTGCGTCGAGATTCTGTCGAAGGAGGAGCAACGCCAGGGGCGGCGCCGGAGGCGCCGCCGGGGGGACCCAGCGCAGGTCCAAGAAGTCCGCGCGGAAGGCCAAAAGTTGATGTTTGTGGCGTTTGTGTATGCTGAATGTTATTATTCTTAGTATGTTGGCTACTGTTCTGAATTTGTCTTCTTGTTTTAATTAGTATTCTTACTAGTATTACTCGTATTATTATTCGTATTGTTATTCCTAGTGTTACTATTATTCCTAATGTTATTACTCTTCTTCTTATTCTAGAGATGCCTCGAGATTCTGAGGGACCGAGGGCCGAGGTGTTCGCCGCGTGTCGCATGGCCCTCGGCCTCCCGAGGCGGGCCTCCGGGCCCGGACACCCGAGGCCCCGGCGCCTGAAGAGGCGGGACGGGGCCCGAGGAGGTCACGGCCCGCGCCCCCGGGCTGGCTGTGCACCCCGAGCCCTCCGCTGCCGACGGCCCCCGGGCCCGAGATCGGCCTCCAGGCGCCGCAACGATCGAAGACCATCGCCCTGAGCTCTCCGAGACGGTGGACGTCTGGCACAGACATCCAGCCGTTCCAGTTCTGTTCGGCGCGTGGGCCCCACCACTTCCCGAGGGCCGGCCCTTCATCCTGAGCCGCCTCTTGACGGTCCCGAGGCTTGGCGAGGGCCCCCCGGAGAGCGAAAACGGCCAGAAACCAGCCGCTCCAACTTGTTCGGAGCACCCGCGAGGCATCCCAGGAAATCCAGAGGCCTCAGCGGAGGGAGGCCGCCGGAGACTCTAGAGGCCTCCAGAGCCGCCCGCGCGGCTCGGCCTGCCTCAAGAGCCAGGGGCGGTTTCTGGGGCCCCGGGATGTCAGAGAGCGATCCGCGACGAGGAGGCGGTCCCGAGGGGCGGGTTCGAGAGCTCTGGGGCCCGACGCTCTTATGAAAAAGCACAGCGCCAGAGGTGCCTGACCCTCACGCGAGATCTGCTGAGCTCTCCAGAAGCTCCGAGGTTTGATCCTGCGTCGCCGCGCCGTTTGCTCCGACGCGCAGCCTTCGGTGTTGAGGGCGCATCGGCCGCCAGGGCAAACGCCGCCTCGGGCGTGCAGGGTTCGCCGTGGGGTTTGCCGCGGCGCTGGCTTCGTTCACTTAGGGCGCGGGACGCTGGGTTTGGCATGGGTCTGCCGTGGTGTCGGCGTCGTCCACCTGGGAGCGTCGAGAACAAACGACAAAGCGACATGTGTCGAAGTTTTCGGGCCCTGGGGTGTTTTCAGCAGCTACGCAGCCGCGCCTCGCCGATGGCCCCGGCGGGGACGCCGGGAAGGTTGTCTGCACGAGGGCCCCCGGAGCTCCCGAACATCGCCCCGCTCCCCTCACTTCGCCCTCGAAACTCGATCTCCCGCCTCGATCATCCTTTTCCTCCTCGATCCGCTTCCTCCTCCTTCTCCTCCTCCTCCTCCTCCTCCTCCTCCTCCTCGGGGGCGGCGGCTGCCGTTGCCCAGGCGGCCACCGAGGCGCCAGAGCAGGAGTGCCCTCGGGGAGGCGGAGCCGCCCGCCTGCCCCGATGCTCTTGTTCTGCTTGCGCGTGTGCCCGGAGGTGCCGGCGTGCCGGAGCCCCCCCCCGGAGGCCGGCGCGGTGTTGGACCTGCTGCAGCTCGTCGGCGGCGCCTTCGTGCACTCCCTCGTCACCCTGGGCTCGCGAGTGTGACCACGTCGTCAGCAGCATGGCGGCACGTCGCCAGCAACTGCCGCTGGGCGCCGCGAGCTCGGTGCATCCGCCTCCCCCGAGCGTGCCACAGTGGAATGGACTGGCAGTCCACTGGCAGCTCTGCGGCAAGCCAGCGGGCGCACTGTCGGAGAGGAGGCTTTCTGGAGTGAGATGATGCCAGGTGCTTATCTGGCAGTGTTCTATAGTGATGCTACGGTGTGCCACGAGCGTCCGCTACTGCACCAGGTGGGCGCCCAGCAGTGGGCCATCCAGACGCCCGATGGAGATCACTACGTTGAAAGTGTGATGTGTGACAGCCGCGAGGCGGGGCCCTGTCGTGCGGTGGTAATGCCTGGCACAGGGGAGCTGCCCGTGGTCTTGAAGGGGCGGACCTACTGGGTCGGGACCTTTCCGACCGAGCAGCTGCTGGTGAAGTACTTTGGCCAAGGTCGTCTCATCGCGTAGGCGGTGGGGTTCGAGGGCTCGGGACCAACGACGCACCTCAACTCCGAGGGCGAGCGCCGCCTCTTTCCGGGGACAGCGGGTGGCCTGCGACGCCAACCATTGATCCTCGCCGATGCGAGCCAACCCCTCACCGCGATCGTTGACGACGAATTCCCCTTGCCTCCATCTGCAGACCAGTCGGTCCAGCCTGCGTCGCAGTCGGTAGCGTCGGGTCGGGTCCGCTCGGCAGGTTCTTGCGTCGTTGCCGCGTCGCTGCACCCGTCTACGCTGCTTGCGGCCTGCCGATTTCGGTCTCGCCGTCGGTTCGGTCGGCGTTCGGTCCTGCTATCACCGTGGACGGCCTTGCGGCAGTGGCCTCCTGCTTTGGGGGCTATAGCTTCTCCGATCCACGGATCTGGCGCCCACGCGACAGATCCACGGACCCGAGCCCTGGCAGCGCCCGTGGGTGCGCCCCTCGCCCTGGCCTGGCTGCTGCTGCTGCGGTCACCGCTGCCACGGCGGGCCGCCCCGGCCCGCTCGACGCGGAAGTCTTCCACGCCTGCGTGCTTTGGGCGTTGCGTAATGGGGGAGTCATACATGGGGGGGTGGCGAGGGTGGGCCGAAAAGGTACCCAAACGGTACCTAAACGAGCCCCATGGGGCGTTGGAGGGGCCCGAAAGGGGCACGAAAGAGGACCTTTTCTGACCCCCCCATTTGTGACCCCCCCATTAAGCCACGCCCAACGTGCTCCTCCTCCCCCTCCCTCTGCCCGGCCGCCCTAGTCCTTTTTCCCTCTCTCGCATGCCGGCCACTTCGCCACTCGGTTGCCCCGGATGGCCACACGCTGGAGCGGACCGCCCCTGCCTCGCCGCCGACGGCAAGAGTGCAGTGCCCGACCCTCGCCCCCTGCACTCGCCGCCGCCTGCGGCCCTCGCCGCCGCCACGGCCCTCGCCGCCGCTGCAGCCATCGACGCCGCCGCGGCCCTCGCCGCCTGGCGCCTCAGGACCCGGCCCGGCCCGGCGGCCCCCCGCGGCCGTCCCAGCGGGGCGAACCGGGCGCGACGCCCAGAGCTCCAGGCGCCGCGGGGAGTCCGGGGCGGAGGGCTGCAGGGCGTGTAATCGTTGTCGTTGTGATCGGCGTTGTCGTTGTCGTCGTCGTCGTTGTGACCGTTGTGATCGTGGTTATCGTTGGCGTTGTGATCGTTGTCGTTATGATCGTTGTGATCGTTGTCGTTGTGACCGTTGTCGTCATGATCGTTCTGATCGTTGGTATCCTTGTCGATGTGACCATTGTTATCGTTGTGATCGTTGTGATCGTTGTCGTTGTGATCGTTGTTATCGTTGATCGTTGAGGGGGGAGGGCTGCAGGGCGTCACGCTTCATTGAGGGGTGCGGTCCCCACAGGTGGTTGGGCTTTACTCAGGGGCAGCGCTAGGGGGGGGGGGATAGGCTCAGGGGGGGATACATCGATCTCCCAATCGCCCATTTATTTCGCCAACGGGAGCCTGATAGCCCACCCCGCTATCGGGGGCTTATCGCCGACCTATCGGCGACACATTGCCGATTCCAGGTCATTGCTTCCCCCCTGAGCCAGTCCAACCTCTACCATTCCTTTTCAGTTACGGGAGCAACCGCATGCTCTTTCCTAGTGCATGGCAGCGCTGCTCGGAGGAGGAGGAGGAGGCTTGAGGGTTGCGAATTCAAGGTTGAGGTTTTTCGTGTGGCTTTACCCCATGGCTGGCCACAGCTGAATCCGCCTCGAGATTTTGGCCACCCCGTCACCTTGCACAGCTCTAGGGGGCGACTCTTTGAAGCAAGAGGAGGAGGAGAAGAAGGAAGAGGACATCCTGAAGTCTCTGAAACCACTGAGCTTCTGGCGGATCGCTTGAGTAGCAGGCTGTGGGCTTGGGACGCCTCCGACACGGCCTGGGACGAGTGCCACAGCTGCGCGGGCGCCCTGAACACCCGCGCGTGGCAGGTTGGCGCCGGGGAAAGCGCAGAGTGTTGCATCCTCATCCTCGTCTGCAGCCACTGCGGGGGCCCGCGGGCAGAGACGGGAGGGGAAGGATGGTGGAAGCGACAACCTCCTCTCCTTCCTAGCGGTAGTCGAGGGGCCTCGGCACGACGGCCGACCCCGACAGCCGGGCTGCAGCCAGGGCGGCCACGCACACAGCGCGACGGTGCATGGCGAGACCCACGGGGCGAGGCCGCGGTCGACGGACACGGCGGGCGGCGAGGAGCCGCAGGGCTGCACCGCGTCAGGCGGGACCCAGCGCGCGCCACCGCAGGGGCCTCCTCGTCTCGTCCTCCGCGTCGCCCTCTACCGTCGCCGGGGCGAGCGGGGAAGGAGTCGGCAGAGGGCTGCGGGTCCGCTGCTGGGGGGGGGCACGGGAGCGGAGCCCCAGCCCTTGCCGGTGTGGCCTGCGGCGGGCGCCCCGGCCAGAGGCGGCGGCATGGGCTGTCGTTTGGCAGAGCCTCACGGAAGGGGCTCGGACGAGCCGGGTGACCTCATCAGAGAGCGTTCGCGTAGCGCGTGCGGCACGACCAGCAGCAGCGGGCGTTGGCACGGCATGGGCGGCAAACGGAGGGGGCCCCCCGTAAAAGACAGGCGGACACTAGCACGCAGTGCACGTCGGGACCAGCAGGGGAGGGCGCTCGGACGTGCGCGCTGGGGTGGTGAGGGCGGGCGAGCGAGGAGAGGTGGATGTTCTCCTAGTGCCCTAGTCGTGTTGGTCGCCGTCGTCGGCCGCGGACCATCTCGTGCCCATGGCCTGCGTAGGCCAGGGAATGTGGGTGGCAGGGTTGCAGCTGGGGAGAGCGGGTCAGTTGGCCCGTCGGCGGCCACAGAGAAGGGGGCCGGCTGGCCGGCAGGAGACGCGGCGCGAGTCGCGGCGGAGACGACGTTGAGAGCTTTCGGATCCGCGGGGAGCTTTTGAAGGAGCGCATGGGCGTGCACACAGACAGCCCAGAAGTCAGCTCGAAGCTCGGGCAAGAGCACGCCACGGTGGACGTTTGCTTGCGATCCTCCCAGGCGCTGGGCCACCAGGGGCTGATCCAGGCGCGCTTCGCCGCAGACGTCGTCTGGAGCTCCGCGGGGCGCGCGCGCCATCGGACACTGCGTGGGGCGGCGTGGATGAACACGCGGCTCGTGGCATAGAACAGCGGAAAGAGGGTCGAAGAGCAGCGCGCGCATGGCGCCGAACTCACCAACGAGGGTCGACTCTCCGACGTTCATGGTGAGACAGTCCCTGCTGCACGTCTCCCTGGCCAGACCAGCCAAAGCGGCTGCCGGAGGCTGCCGCTCCCCGCATACGCACGCGCCGCAGCGCGGAAGCAACGGGCCTGGTCCAGGCGGCCGAAGGGAAACGAATACAGCCTTGAGCCAGGCTGCGAAAGGACAGGGAGAGAGAGAGAGAGAGCGCGCGCGCCAGAAAGGTAGAGAGAGAGAGAGAGAGAGGAAATCGAAGGCAGCAGCGTGGAATGGGGACTCCCCGCTGCAAGGCCCCGGCGGTCATGAAACACTGGGCCCTCGCGGCCACGTTTGCCTTTCCTGGTCGGGGGCCTCTGGGGGCCCGCTGGAGCGCTGGCCGCCCCCTTCGTTCTCGCCCCCGTCCCTGGGCCCAATGCGTTGACCCTGCAGAAGCCATACTTCTCTGCATTGCCCGAGTCGGCATCAGCGTGCCGACGGTCTTCTCTTTTGTGGTCCAAGATTTTGAATACTCTCTCCTTGAGTTTTGCTGCGAGTGCGTTCGAGAGGCTTCCCTGGATGCCCCTTACATGCACGCCCTGCGTCGAATTTCAAGTGCCTGGGCCGCACCACACGCCAACCGCTAGCACACGAGCTGAAATCCAGCTGAGGCCTGCGAGATGCGACCTGCAGCCACAGGAGCGATGCGCACCTCACGCACGCACAGACACACACGCACACACACGCACACACACACAGAGACACACACGAACACACACACACACACACACACACACACACACACACACACACCTACGCGCGCGCGCGCACACACACACACACACACACACACACACACACAGACACACACGAACACACACACACACACACACACACACACACACACACACACACACACGCGCGCGCGCGCGCTTTGCGCCAACAGCCACGTGTCCGCCATCATGTCGGTCACGGTGAGCAGGTGCAGCAGAGTCCCGAGAGCGAGGGGAAGCACGGACAAGGAGACGCGGCGGCCGGGGGCGGGAGAGCGGACGGACGACGGACGCAGGAAGGGCGAGAGGGAAGCCAGAGGCGGGGCAGGAACGGGGGAAGAGCAAAGCTGCTGAGGCCAACCGCAGGGGCGGGGCGAAGGGCGAAGGGAGGGAGGGCCAGGAGACAGGAAGGCCAAGAAGTACACAGCAGGCGCGTACAACAAGGAACGGGCCTGCCAGTTGCCACAGGGAAGGCTCCTATTCCCCGATGGCCCCCGTGGGGGGGGGCCACAAAAGCTTTGGGGCACCTCAGGGCCCTCAGAGAACGCCGAAGAATGTGCCCCAATCTTTCCCACAGCAAGATTTATTGTCATCGTTTTCTTCTTCATTGTTTTGCCGATCGGCGCGGGCCCTTGCACCCCCTCCCCCCCCCTGGAGGAGATCTTGGCTGTTTGGGGCGCCTGTTTCAGGCAGGTGGAGTCTCCCCCATAGGACGCATTGCTGCAAACAGTCGCACTAAGCAGCGGTCCAGAGCCAGACCCCCCCTCCGCCCCCTCGGCCCAGTGGCGAATGCGTCCACTGTGCACACACTTCCCTGGCACCGCGGCCACGCGCGCGGCGCCGCGGCGCAGAAAGGCCCAGAGAGGAGCGCGCACCCGCCCAGCTCACGCAGCGGGGGAGACGCTGGATCCAGCCATGCGGGATCGACAACGCCACTCACGTGGGGGGCGGGGGCAACCGTGAGGGGACGGGCCTACGGTACGCACCACGCAACCACGCCGAAGCGACACATAGAGGGCCCGCCAGACCGAGGACCTTTGACCCCCCCACGTGGTGGGCGTGGCGAGGCAGCCACGGTCCCGCAGGACGTGGCCGAACGAGAGACGGCGCCGACCACGGCACCTGCGCAGCCAGGACAGGCACAGGCGTGGGCCGCACCAGCCAGAGGGGGTTGCCCTGGCAGACCAATGGGAAGGTGAAAGCCGGGCGGCGCAGAGGAACCTCAGGCGCAGTCGGCAGATGGAGGTGCCAATTGCGAACGAACTTACTCGAGCGCGCCGTGATGAAAGGATCCAGCCACGGCCATGCAGATTGGTGGCGGTGGCGGAAAGATGAGGCACTGCAAAGCCAAAGTGCAGCGGCCAAGCATCCCGCGGAGCGCAGCTCAGCGCCAGGAGTTGAAGCGCGGTCCGCAGTCTGGCGCTCCCACTGCACGCACACGCAACCACACACACACACACACACACACACACGTGGTGTCAACTGGCTGTGCTTGCCGTGCTCGCCCCCGCCCGCGGCGCCGTGCTTCCCGCTCGCCTCCCCGCCCCCCTCCTCATCCAAGGGCGTTCCACCAATCGCAGAGTGCTTGCTCGCAAACGTCGAACAAGCAGTGCTTGCCTGCTTGCCCCGATGCGATGGAAGACGCTTGCCTGGATGCCACGGATCCGGGCCATTTGCTAGTAGCCACTCTGCGAGCACAGTCAACCAGCATGGCAACGATGGGCAACCTTCCTAAGGGTACCACAGCATCCTTGCGCCTCCGGCCCATCCTTCGCGGCTTTCGCTGGCCAGCCTCGTTCGAAAAACGTTAGCATGGCCCTCCGAGGCCCCTGCTGCAGCCACTCCGCGAGTAGTGGACCGCGCTTGTCTAGCGCTTCCCGCGTGCCTCCCCGCCCCATGGGGGAGGACTGCCGGCGCACGGGGACGACTGCGGCGAGGAGCGGCGGGCGCGCTGCACGCACCGGGCATCGAGCTCGGTGCCTCCCAAGGAGCCGCCCCCGCGGCACGAGGCCACGAGGGGAGGGAGGAGGGACGAGGCGGAGGAGGAGGACGAGGAGGAAGGGGAGGAAGGGGAGGAAGGGGAGGAGGAGGAGGAGGAGGAGGAGGAGGAGGAGGAGGAGGAGGAGGAGGAGGGACGAGGAGGAAGGGGAGCAGGGGGAGGAGGAGGAGGAGGAGGAGGAGGAGGAGGAGGAGGAGGAGGAGGAGGAAGAAGAAGAGGAGGAAGAAGAGGAGGAGGAGGACCAGCGTAAACCCAAGAGTCATCAACGATGTAGGAATAAGCCCTCCCTCCAATGTCCCTCTTCGCAGGCCCCTATCACGGTTCATTTCCACTGAGGGAATTGCCTCCTTGGAAGACATCCGTTTGAAGACCCTGGGGCATGCCAAAACATTGTTCTCGGGATTCCAACGCCACGGATCACACCGCGAATCAACGTAACTAATTGCTGCACCCTTATAATCGTGAATCTCTCCAGAACACCATTCTTGGTATGCTGAACATGGAAACCCGTGAAACTCTTGCACTTTGTCAAACGAATGTGCGCGTCGCTAAGACGAGAACCACATGTTTGAAAAGGAGTCGCCCTCAATCCGGGAAGCTCTTGAAATTGTTTAAAACGAATATGCGCGGCGCTATGGCGAGAGCCACATTTTGAAAACGACCCGCCCTCAATCCGTGAAGCTCTTGCTAATGTATGGAGCGAATGAACGCGACGCTAAGGCGGGAGCCACATGTTGAAAACGACCCGCCCTCAATCCGTGAAACTCTTGCAACAGTTTAAAACGAATGCGCGCAGCGCTAAAGCGAGAGCCACATGTTGGGAACGACCCGCCCTTAATTCGTTAAATGTTTACCATTCTTAATTACGAATGCGCGCGGTGCTAAGGCGAGAGCCACATTTTGAAAACCACCCGCCCTCCATGTGTTGCACTGTTGCCATTGTTCAAGCTTCAGGGTCATACATGGTGAGGAAGACTCAGGCGAAACGTCGGGCCCGCCCTAAAAGCTGGCCTCGGGGTGCGACAGGGAGAAGTTCTTTATAAGGAAAAGGAATTGAGGAGCAGGAGGAGGAGGAGGTGGAGGAGGAGGGAGACGGAAGGTTTTTTGTCATTTTCTGTTTTGGGGGGGCCCTCGCCGGGTCCCGGGACCATCAAAGAACGACTCGGGATGAAAAACCAGTCCCGGGAAATGGGTCTAGATTTGTGGGGGTCTGCGCTGTGAAAAGTTCACGGCGTTGGAGTTCTGGGTCCCCGTGAGGGGCAACCTTGAGGGGGGATAGGATGAGGGGGGGGGGTATGCATCGACCCCAAGCCGCCCGCTCATTGCCGATGGGGGCCCAAGAGCCCAGCCCGCACAGGACTGCGCGGATTCGCCATCGGGGGCCCATCGCCGATCTATCGGCGATGTGTCGTCGATTCCAGCGCGATGTTTCCCCCCTGTCGTTGCCCCTCAAAGGAGTAGGAGGAGAAAAAGGACCCTCAGTGCTCGAGGATCAAGGCTTTTGACCGCTTTGGGTTTCATTGGGCTTCCTGAGGCCTGACCCTCTCTCGGATCGAGGCTCAGCGTTTTTGGACGTCTTCGTTTAATTCTTCGAGCCTCATGGAGCTCTCTCGTCGCCGCGACAGGATGCGCCTCGAAGTGTTTGCCAGAACGCGCTCCAGGAGAGGTCCCTGGGGTCGAATTGAACTCTAGAGGCCGCGCGCTGAGCTTCAACCCCCGCGTCTGGGTGTCACGAACAAATCACGACGGGCGGTTGTGACCCATTTCCGATCTCACGACTTCGCGGCCGAAAAAATGTTTCCAGGAGCTGGGGGCAAGGAAAAACGTCAGGATTGAACTAATGTAGCCGTCGGACGTCGTAGGGAGGGCACCCCCTTCGCCCAGAAGTCGTGGCGCGGGGCGGGGGGGGTGCATTTGTGGTCCTGCTCCTCCTCCTTCTCTTCCTCCTCTTCCTCCGTCTGACGATGGTCTCAACATGTGACCGCCCCCGAGAACCACCGCCTGCCGCTTCTCACTGCACTCGGCAACGATAACCTTTCCCTCTGGCAGTGGCGCTCCTCCTCCTCCTCCTCCTCCTCCTCCTCCTCCTCCTCCTCCTCCTCACCCTCCTCCTGGCGATCACTGACATCCTCTCATTGTGAGAAAAAGCACGACGGAAGGTTTTTGCTCATGTTTGGCCTCCAGGGGCCCTCGCTGGGCCCCAGGACCGTCCCAGCACAGTCCCGGATGAAAAGTCAGTCCAGGGGAAGGGGTCCAGACCATTGGGGAGCCATTTCTGGAGAAAAAATATTTAAAAAACAAAAAACAAAAAAACAAAACAACAAAAAAAAAAACGACGTCTTGGACGGGACTAGGATTAGGATAAATCCCTTCCAGAGCGTTCCAGAACGATCTCAGAGCGTTCCAGAACGCTCTGAGAAGGCCGCGGCACCCGAGACACTTTCCAGAACTGGAGCTGAGAAATATTCGATTAATCCTCACCCGATGTTGTATTCGTCCTGGTGTCGTCTTACACGTCGTGAAAAAAAGGCACGATGTCAGATGTCTCGCATTGGGCGGGGGGGTCAATGTAGCCTGAGGCTCGGCGCGCGTGCGCTCGACGGGCCATCCGCGTCCGCGGGGCCCGCGGCAGACCACGCCGCGGCCCGAGCTCCTTGCTGCCTGCACGGCGTCGGAGGCGGGGTCCGCAGTATGAGCACGTGGAGGAGGAGGAGGAGGAGGAGGAGGAGGAGGAGGAGGACGACGACGACGACGACGACGACGACGAGGACGAGGAAGAAGACGACGACGCGGACGACGACGACGACGACGACGACGACGAGGACGACAACGACGACGACGAGGGGGTTGGAGGGGAGGAGGAGCGCAGGTCACCCCGACGTCATGGTTTCTTGTTCGCGGCGTGGGCCCTCAGAGGCCTCTCGGCCTCTTCCCCAGGACCGGCTCTTCACCCTGAGTCATTGCTCGGCAGCGAGAGAGGGTAAGGCTTCTGAAGAAGGCGGCGCCGGCCCTACATCTGTAGACAGGGCCCGCGCCTTCTGAGAAGCAGCCTCCTTCTGAGAAGCCTTCTCCCCTCCCCCATACCCCTTTTGCGCACCGCCAACAGATCCAGGCGACGCAAAACGAAAAGGGCGGGCACTTCTGTCAGCTCACGGAGGCCGTCTCCTGGCCTCGGGACCGCCAAAAAACGATTCGGGACGAAAGGTCACCCCTGGGGAAGGGACGAGATCCTTGGGGACCCGCGCTGCAAAAAGGTACGACGTCGAAGGAGGGGGAGCCTCGCCAAGTCACGGGGGCGGCAGCTAGCGCGCCCCAGCCCACGGAGGACGAGGGCGAGCTCGTGGGTCCGAGCTCGCGCGGCTGCGAAAGCCCAGCCCCATGGCGACCCGCGAGGCTTCGCGCTCAGGACAAGAGAATGCACGAAGTGGCGACGTGCGAGCAGAACGTTCGGGCTGCAGGGAGCCAGTGCGCGGACGCGTGGGCCGAGGAGGATGGGCTCTTGGGCCGAGACTAGGGGCTGGTCGGTTCTGCGCCCGACACGGATGAGACAGACTCCCTCGCTCGCACGGGTCTCGTACGTTTTCCGAGGGAGCTCGTGTACAGAACCGCAGCCGACCAGCACAGTGCGGCCAGCGGGAACGCCGGCAGCGCGTCCGGAGAGGCACGCGCGAGGAAAAGTTTGCGCCTCGCTCGGCGCACTGCCTGCAGAAGCGTGGAAAGCTGTGACTTCGTAGACCATGTGGGTCAGGGGCACAGCTAGGGGGGGGGAGTGGGCTCAGGGGGTGGCGCAGCGACCCCGACCGGCCGTTGGTTGCTGACAGGGGCCTGACATCCCACCCCGCCCAGGATCATGCGGATTCGCTATCGCTGGCCCATCGTCTATCTCTCGGCGATGCGTTACCGATTCCAGGTCGCTCCTCGGCAGGGCAACCCCCCGTTCCTGAACTTTGCCAGCTTTTGCTGCACGCCGCAGACCGCTCAGGGAGGGCGCGACGCCTCCCGCAGTGTCACGCCGCGGCGCGAAGAGCGCTCGACGCGACCCTTGGCGCCGGCCTGCCAGCGCGCTCCGGCTTGTTCACGTGTCGCACGCGCTCGGTGGGCCGCGCGTGTGGCTTTTGCGTTCTGCCGCGCGTGTGGACGCTGAGACACGGAGGACGTCAGGCACAGCAGAACGGAATGCCCACGGGCTGCTGCGGCACAATGCCGAGCAGAGCTTTGAACGCTTGGCGAAGCTGCTATGCCCGCGGAGGGAGGGCACGCCGAAGAGCGTCAGAGGTGCATCATGGACGCGCGAGGCTGAGCGTAGAGTGGTGCAGGCCCCAGTGACCCCTGTATCGTGCAGATGACCTGATCGTCCGACTCCGATTCCCAGCTCCGTCCTGCCTCTTGCTTCCTCCTCGTCTTGTCCTCATCCTCATCAGCAGCATCAACAGCATCATCATCATCAGCAGCAGCATCATCCTCAACAACAACATCATCCTCATCTTCAGCAGCAGCATCATTCTCATGATCATCATCAGCAGCAGCAGCATCATCATCGTAATCATCTTGCTTCTCCACTCACACTTCCAGCATCCCGAGGAGAAGCGGGCCCCGCCCTCCCTAGACACTGGCCAGCGGACCAGGGCTCCGGGGGGGCCGGCAACCGATGAGCGGGGAGGAGGAGGAGGAGGAGGAGGAGGAGGAGGAGGAGGAGGAGGACCAGTGCAATCCCACGGCGCATCAACGGTATTGCAATAGACCCTCTCTCCAGGTTCCCTCTTCGTAGGCCCCTACAATAAATCTTCGCTGCAGGCAGTGTTCCATTGAAAGACAGCCGTCCGAAGAGTAAGAAAGGAAAGATGTCACTCCCCCAGGCTCCAAAAACGGGAGGTACGTCGGCAGGACAAGAAAGACAAAAGCAGTAACGCAACAGTTTTCCACCATAAATTCATTTGTACTCGGGCACCCTGAAGTGTTTGAAATTGTTTGAGGATACGACATGAAGCCAAAACACCACTGCTGGGACTTTAGCGAGGCAAACCAACGTGATCTGCGCGTCTTGACAAGCCTGAATCGTGCCAGAACACCGTTCCTGGGACTTGTTGCGTCCTGAGAGGACAGGAGGAGGAAACAGGGGGAGGCAAGAGGAGGAGGAAGAGGAGGTGGCGGTGGAGGAAGAGGAGGAGAAGGAGAGCAAGAGAAGGAGCAGGAAGAGGGGGAAAGGGAGGAGGAGGAGGAGGAAGAGGACGACGAGAACGACGACGACTACGACGACGTCGACTTGGACTAGGAGGCACAAGAGGAAGAGGATGGAGAGGAGGAAGGAGGCAAGAGGAGAAGGAGGCAGGAGGGGTGGGGCAGGAAGAAGGAGGAGAAGGGGGAAGAAGGAGGAGGAGGAGAAGGAGGAGGCGTAGGAGCAGGAGGAGAAGAAAGATGAGGGGGAAGGACGACAAGGGCTCCAATGCTTCGGCGACAAATCTAGGGGAGGCTGGGATGCCCAAGAGAAAAGAATGAAGGCTACAAGAGAGAGAGAGAGAGAGAGAGAAACAAGAAAAGAGAGAGAGAGAGAGGAACAAAAAAACTTGATAGGGCGAGATGGAGGGAGAGATGGAGAGAATGAGAGAGCGCTTCCTCTGGGTGTGGGGCACGGAGATAGAAACAGAGATTTAGCGAGAGAGAGAGAGAGAAGGAAAAAAAAAGAGGAGGAAGAGGAGGCAGAAGCAGAAGCAGAAGGGAAGGACAAGGGAGAGCGCACCAGTTCAGCCAGTCGTCGACACACGCTCTGTGCAGGCCAGCGGCCCGCGTGGCACCTTTCCGCCAGAGCCACGGCGTTGAAGAGGGTCGCTGGGGGGGGGCACGGCCCCCAAAAAGAAGCGTCGTTCCTGACTGCGGCTGGCACGCAAGGCGTTGCCTCTCTGCGACGATGCAAGGCGGCGGAGCCGACAAGATGCGGGCAGCGCGGCTGACGGGCCGAGCGGCGCGCGTGCGGCTCCCCTTTCGGGAGTGCTTCTCCCTCGATGGGGGCGCCACCAGCGCGCCCGCGGAGCCTCGGGGGCCCGTGGCGAAAGCAGTCGGGCTTGGGGCGAAACGCCAGGGTGAAGCAGGCAGCTGCTTTATTGGGCGAGTCCCGATTGGCAGCAGTGGCCGCAGTCGTCCCCAGTTGGGCGGCACGGGGCTCGGGGCCACGAGGGCCAGCGGCGTGCGTCGCCAGAGGGCGGCCTCGCACGCGGCGGTGAGGGTGCGTATCATGCTCGGGTTGGGTCGGCGCTTCTCGGACCTGCGGAGCATGGTCCACCTGGAACTTGGTCAGGCGCGCTTGGCGCTCAGCGCGCTGTCGGACTGCGAGAGAGAGAGAGAGAGGGAGAGAGAGAGAGAGAGAGGAGAGAAAATTATCCCAGTGCGACCCTACCTAGGAGTTGGAGCCTCTAGGACAGCAACATTAGCAGGAGCGGCAAACGCCGCCCTCCTCCTTCTCCTCATCGTCGTAGTTGTGACAGTAGCGGTAGCAGTAGTAGTAGTAGTAGTAGTAGTAGTAGTAGTAGCAGCAGCAGTAGTAGTAGTAGTAGTAGTAGTAGTAGTAGTAGTAGTAGTAGTCGTAGTAGTCGTAGTAGTGTAGTATAGTAGTAGTAGTAGTAGTAGTAGTAGTAGTAGTAGTAGTAGTAGTAGTAGTAGTAGTAGTAGTAGTAGTAGTAGTAGTAGTAGTAGTAGTAGTAGTAGTAGTAGTAGTAGTAGTAGCAGTAGTAGCAGTAGTAGTAGTAGTAGTAGTAGTAGTAGTAGTAGTAGTAGTAGTAGTAGTAGTAGTAGTAGTAGTAGTAGCAGTAGTAGTAGTAGTAGTAGTAGTAGTAGTAGTAGTAGTAGTAGTAGTAGTAGTAGTAGTAGTAGTAGTAGTAGTAGTAGTAGTAGTAGTAGTAGTAGTAGTAGTGGTAGTAGTAGTAGTAGTAGTAGTAGTAGTAGTAGTAGTAGCAGTAGCAGCAGCAGTAGTAGTAGCAGTAGCAGTAGCAGTAGCAGTAGCAGTAGTAGTAGTAGTAGTAGTAGTAGTAGTAGCAGTAGCAGTAGTAGTAGTAGTAGTAGTAGTAGTAGTAGTAGTAGTAGTAGTAGTAGTAGTAGTAGTAGTAGTAGCAGTAGTAGTAGTAGTAGTCGTCGTCGTCGTCGTCGTCGTCGTCGTCGTCGTCGTCGTCGTCGTCGTCGTAGTAGTAGTAGTAGTAGTAGTAGTAGTAGTAGTAGTAGTAGTAGTAGTAGTAGTAGTAGTAGTAGTAGTAGTAGTAGTAGTAGTAGTAGTAGTAGTAGTAGTAGTAGCGCCAGAACCGCCGACGCCACGCCGTAAGTGAAGCAGCAGCAGAAGCGGGCAGCAAGTCGCCGAGACAGCAGCAAAAGCAAGCAGGCACGGGGATGAGGGCGGGGCACTGGGGAGTTCTTTACATCTACATGTATATCTACACCTACATCTACATCGACACCTACATCTACATCTAGACCTACATCTACATCTACACCTACAGCTACATCTACATCTACACCTGCATCTACATCTACATCTATATCAACAGCGAGACTCACATCTACACCTACATCTACACCTACATCTACACCTACATCTACATCTACATATATATCTGCATCTACACCTACATCCACATCTACGCCTACACCTACATCTACATCTACATCTACACTTTCGCATTGGTTTTGCGCACACATACATGCAGCATTCCACATGGGTTTTATTTATATGTACACATATATTTGCATATATATATATGTATATATACATACATACATACATATAGAAGACATTTAAGACATGCGATAAGACTTCGGGTTTCATGTCTCCCGGCCGGTGCTATGTGCGAAACTTTCGTGAATCCTAAGGGTTCCAGCCGCCCCACTAAGGGCTCGAGATGGCCCACAGACGGACAACATGCATTGAACATACGTGCGCACACACACATATATATATAAGTATATATAGATAGCAACAGCAATAGTGGCTGCTGTGCTGCGCTATGCTATGCTATGCTATGTTATGTTTTGCCCGGCTATGCTGTGCTATGCTATGCCATGCTGCGCAATTCTATGCTGGGCTGGGCTAGGCTATGCTATTCTATGCGATGCTGCGCTATGCTATGCTATGTTATGTTTTTACTTTGCCTTCGCTTTTGCCTTCACTTTTGCCTTTGCTTTTGCTTTTGCTTGGCACCCAGGGAGCGCAACTGGGGGAACCGCGCGTTTGCTTTTACCTTTGCTGTTGCTTTTGCTTGGCTCCCAGGGGACTGGGGGAACCGCCTGGGGCGGTTTGCACTGCCCGGCCCCTTTAAGCCAAGCGAGTAAGAACCCTTCTAGGCAGAGCCTAGGTAGGGAAAAAAAGAGAGAGCGTTCCGGTCTGCAAGCAGTGAAGGCGGTCGCGGGGGCACACTCGGGGTGGGGTGCTCCACGTGGCAGCTCGATTTCCCCGTCTTGGGCCCCTCTCAGGGGGTCTTTTGGGTCCCTTTTTGGGACCCCGAATGCGCCCAGACAGTCTGGAAATATGATGCCTGGGGAGTTCAAATTGCATGTACCATCTTCAGCTCAGGGAGGTAAGCGGGACAGGAGAACACTCAACGTCGTGCCTTGCAGCATGGTAGTGGCATGCATATGCGCTTGTGCAAACAGTGGGGACCCATTCCAAGAAACACCCTGCTTGCCTCCAGGGTGCCCTGGGTTTCTTGGCATTCGATGGTTTTTCTGAGGAGAGCGCGACGTTCCCACGCCAAAAATCACTGGACGTCCCGGGGTCTCAGGGTTGGGTTTCTTGTGGAAGGTTTCTTGTGGACTGGCCTCCACTGTATACACACATGTATCACATGTATATATATATATAAAAATATATATACATATACAGAAATGTATATGTATACATATAGGTGTGTGCTTATATAAGATACAGAGAGAGAGGGAGTGCGAGAGAGAGCGCGGGTGGAAGAGAGGGTAAGAGAGTGAGAGAGAGAGAGAGAGAATGAGAGAGAGAGAGAGAGTCATCGGGAAAGAGAGAGATCTTGGTGTGCAGCCACGTGCCTGCGGCAGATCAGCCCCCTCTTGCAAGCGGCGAAGCACTCTGCCTGGCGACCGCCGGGCACCGCCCAGAAGGCCGTCACCTTTCACACCGCTTCGGCTCCGCCTCCTACGGAGCCCTTTACGGTTGAGTCGTGCACGTCCCTCTACAGGAGGAGTACTCAAAAGTCGTCAACAAAACAGTCTGAAAACGATGTTTCGACTATGTTTGGACTGTTTGATGTTGCGAACTGTTTGGCTACTTGTCATTCTTCGCTCAAAACCCGCCTGTAGGAGGACATGCCCGACCTAACCTTATGGGGCTAATTCGGGCCGTCTTGGTTCTCTTGGCCCTCTGAGGGGGACTCCCGTGGGGCCTTCTATGGTGGTTCTACGGCCCTTTGGGGCCGTCTCGGAGCCCTATCGGGCCGTATTGGAGCGATTTGGGCCGTCGGGGGGTGCCTCGGGGCAGTCTTTGGGTCTTATCCGGTCATCCTGCATCCCTCTGGAGGCTCTCCTGGGCCCAGTCGGGGCTCTCTTGGGGCCGCCTTGGGCGTCTCGAGGCCACCTTGGGGCTCTCAGTGATCTCGTTGGGGCTTTCGGACGCCGCAAGTGGA